AAAAAAAAAAAAAAAAAAGCTATCTGAATTCCAGCAAGTGACTTGCTTTCATCTTTAGTAGAATGACTGAAGAGAAAAATCTGTCACAGACAGGTGTAATAAGAAACCAGCTAAACTTTTCAACAATTTTTAAAGGTTGTATATGGACTGGTATGATGTGTCATGAACCTCTTGGGCCTCTAAGGGTGGATGGTGGACAGTGGGATATAATACACTGGCAACGGGACAAAAGAACTGGGAGAAACCCTTGAGGGTTTGTGTACGAGGCAGTGGCTTCCCAAAGGCAGAGAGCAAGGCAGAAAGGACTCTCCTAAGGCACAGAAAATTAACACAGACACAATAGAATTGTCATGAAAGAAGAGAAAGCCTTGTAAATGGCACTTAAGCTGGCCCACTGCATAAAAAGCTGATTTTGAAGGACAGCAGTCAGGTAAACACATACGTCCTCAGCCTGGCGATGGACAAGGGAATTGGCTAGGACTGCTAGGTTAACAGAGCCTTACTTTTCCAAAGGAAATAGGTCACATATTTTGCCCCAAGAACATAACCCAGATTCTGAACAGAACAGTCTGGATGTTCTAATGGAGGCACAAGTGGGAGCTAAGTAATCATTCTGACTTGTTGATTTAGAGAAGGCTCGATGGAGTGGAATTTTGAGCTGAGCTTTAACGGTAGAGTAGTGCAAGGGTATTCCAACTTGAGATAATTTGAATAGTGCCAGAGGAAGAATCACCCTTTGTGACTGGAGTACAGGGAAGAAATATCTGCAGGGTAAAATGAACCTGAGGGGAGCTAAGAGCCATAGATTGTTGAAACCCTGTGCATCTGTTGAGGAGTTTGGTTTTGTTTTGAAGGAAATAGCTACCAATGATTTCAGTTTGGGAACAATGTGATCGTGCCTTCTGTTCATAAAGGTTATCTCAGCAGCAATGATTAGAAGCAAAACCACCATGCCTGGTATCAGCACAGGGGAAATATAGTATATATCCTTACTAATGAGACTGGAAGGGGGAATCAAAATGTTATAAAGGCAAAATGAACAGATTCTATGGATGGAGTTGATTCCAGCCTTGGCCTTGGTTGGTTGAGGTAATGGTAGCATTACTCACAGTAGAATACGGGAGGAGGATAAGTGTTAGGAGAGTTGGGTTTAGCTTATCACAGAAACACACCGACCCCTACCTAGCTTCCATGACTTTCCTCCTTTCCTCTGAGAATTTCATTATAGCGAGGGATGTTGTTTCCCAAGTGAATATATCTCAGTTGCCACTGCCTAATCTGTTTTGCTATTCAGCATACACGCAAAACATACACAAACAGAAATTCAACTCCAGTACTGATAAACAGAAACTCAACTCCAGTGTTGATAAAGGTAATGGCATTGTTGTATCAATTAAATTTAGAAATCAATTTATCTAATTGGAAAAAAGCAAAGGGTCTAGCAATGCCTTTATCTAGTAAATAATCTTGTAGGCTGCTTATCTAAAGATGATGTCCTGTAGGTACCTCTTTTCCTATTAATGAAAAATCCATTATACCTGTGATAAATCAGATTGGGTTCAACTATATTAGATTCATGTGCAAATAAAAAGTTGGATAATTAACTAATACACCATCCTAAATATATAATGTAAGAAAAATAAATAGACACGTAGTTGCTTAGGAAAGCTACCAACATACAATGTAAAACTAATTTGGGAGCTACTGGAGTATCTTGGTTAAGACTGCAGAAAAAAGTTTCAGACTGAAGTCTAGGACATAACTATTTTTTAAAAAGAAATTATTTCTTGATGAGTATGTTTAATCAGCCTTCTGTTACTGTGACAAAATATGAGAAAGGCAATGTAAAAGGAGGAAAGGTTTACTCTGGCACAAGCATTCAGAGGTCTCAGCCCATGGTCATTTGGTGCCATCGTTTCTGGGCCTGTGGTGATGGAGCAGAGCTCTCAACTCATGGTATCTGTGAAGGAGAGGAGGAAGGAGACCTGGGGACAATATTTATTCTTCAAGGGTACAGCCCAATGACATACTTCCTTCAACAATGTCCCACTTCTAATAGCACCACCAGCTGGGAAGCAAGCCTAGAATACATGAGATTTGGGGGAACATTTAAGATCCAAAACACAACAGCAAGGTAAGTAAATTGTAATTTATAGGAAACACACTTTACATTTTAGTACATGAGACACAGATATACTGAATCACTGTGTCCAATGTTTCACTCCTTTCCTGTTGTCAATGCCTTTTGCTATATGACTTTGTCATTTCTCTTAGAATTTCTCTAACCTGCTGATATTGTTTGAATGATTTGTTTTGGTTCAAAGAAAGTGGGTGAAAGTGACAAGGGGCTTGTCCTGTCCAAGACCTTAAGAGATATTCTATATTTCTCTCACTCTCATCAGCCCCCTGAATTCATCATGAGAACAAGTCCCAAGAAGCCCCTGGACAAGGAGAACCAGAGATAGATGTAACAGGACTGATGAATGCTCACCACCTGAAGTAGAGCTGCCTGGCTGACTTGCAAACTTGTAAACATAAAAACCAATGTTTATCGTGGTAAGCCACGTAAACCTTAGGTTGTTATAAAAATAAAAACACCAACTGAAAGAAACATATAGTTACTTAATGCAACTAATTATGAGCAACAACCATGTTCCAAAAAAATAGAAATTATTTGAATTTGGATTAGAGAGGAACCAGAACAACTAAACAAAGTAAATGGGAATATATTTTAATAGTAATTTTACTCTTATGTGAATTATTTAAAAGGTTGATCTTTAACATTCAAATTTAAATTTTGAGGATTGCAAACATCAAGCATTATCTTTGAGGGGCCGGGGATTTAGCTCAGTGGTTCTGCTGCCTGCCTCACAAGTGCAAGGACCCGAGTTCGATCCCCAGTACCAAAAAAAAAAAAAAAAAAAAAAAAAAAAAAAAAGACTTTGAATCTGGGAAAAATTTCCCAAAGTCTCATCAGGCATCTTGTCCCAAATTACAGTCATCTCTGCCTGAACAAAAGTCAGCAAAGCCTGAGAAATAAAGCAAAATTCTCAGTATCTAAAAAGCTCTTTAAGAATAATAGAAAACTTCATATGTAATGTGACACCAAGAATGTCACAGCATCTTTAGTTGTTAACCCTTCTCTCCTCCAAGGGTAAGACAATAAAGGGTTATTGTCTTTTTAACTTTAAACATGTATTTTTACATATATGCTGGTCAATATATTAGCCAGTAGCCATATGTAGTACTTGGAATGTGATTAGTTCTAATGAAAATATTCTGTAAATATACACTACAAAAAAATAATATACCCTACAGATTTAAAAACTTAGCATTAAAAAAGCTCAATAACATATTAGCTATTTGTTGAAATGAGAATATTTTTCATTCAGTCACTTTCCTAAATGTGCCTTGCTTTGAAGTGTAATATGTGTTTCTGATAAGGACATTGACATTAAATTGATGAGTACTTTTAAAATTTTTAATTTATATCACATATTTCTTACTAATTAAGAATTAGATGAATTGAAATTCTCACACACACAGCCTAATTATGTTGCTTCATTCTTTTGTATACAGAAATAACAACTGTGAGTTCATAAAAAATAACGTTTTCCTACCTTTTAAATAAACAGGGTTACCAAAACCAAGTTTTTAGTCCTGGGTGAAAGTTCAGGGATGCACAGTAATTAATTATAAGCACTGACCAATCCAGTATTGAAATTAATCGGTAGTGACACATCTAACTTCGGTCCACCCAGAATGGCTCAGCAGACTCCTGCATCTGCCTCAAAACCAACCTTCCCTCCAACAGAACTGAAGGTAGGTTGCACATACTAATTATCTTCATAATTTGAGGTTTTGACATGTGGAGTTTGGCTCCCAAATACCTGAAAGGGTTTTTGTTTTGTTTTGAACCTTGGCAAAAAGACAGAAATAAGAAAAGATTTGTATTCTCTGAAGGAAACTTGTAAATTCCAATTCCAACTTGATGAGGGAAAGTGTTTAGAAAAAAAAAGTTGTAACTTGGGGCAGAAAATGTGGCTTGATTTTCAGCTCTGCCATGGGCACTAGGAGTGCTAATAGCTACCTTTTTCAGATTGTTAGGAGGTAGAGCATGATATACCACCAGTGCTTAGTTAATAGCAGCATAATAATATAGCAATTGCCACCAAAAAGAGAGTTTGAATATACCAGTTTGGCTTCTGATCCCTAATCAAGGTCCAGTAAATTAAATTGTGAGTAGCAGAAAAGGAACAGCTTTATTAAACATATGTTCACCTGACTATTATAGAGTATAGCTTTATTGTTCAAGAGATAAGGGGCATTTGGCATCTAGTTTATAGGAGAACTTTCCTTCTCTCATCTGTTCAACAATCAGTGTCCAGATCCAGAGATGGACAGATGGTTTGGGTTAAAATGAGAATAACAGATCACCACCCAACCCTGCTAAACAGGTAACCTTTAATCCTTAAATGCAAGAGGAATAGGGCTTCTTTGAGTTTCTATGATAGAGTCCATAGCCAGTTCTTCCCTTATGAAATATTCTATGGGAAAAGTAAATAAAACCCACATTTATGGAACAGAGGTGGTGACACAGCCTTGGTTCCCAACACATTTTGATGTGTAAATTACCATAACAGGAAAGAAGCATATTGCTTAATATCATCCTCTCACTAAAATCAAACTTTGTGATAATAAGATGTGGCATGGCTTTAAAACTTGATGTTTTATCTTTATGGTGCAGTTGGTTAGCACATTTAGCTGTTAAATGAAAGATCTGTGATTTGACCATACCCAAGTACAGTCCTTTTTCCAGTCAACTTCTTGGTGATGAAATAGTGTAGAACCAAACAGTGATGATGTACTAAATGCTATTGAATTATACTAACTGAAGGTTAATGTGGTGAATTTTATGCTATGTGTATGATATAATAGAAACTCCAAAAGCATTGGAGGATGCCTTTTCCTAAATTTGAGTTGTAACTGTATTTTTCTTTGTAATATGTATATAACTACCACATATTATGTCCTAATATCTAAAGGCCCACAGTATATATCTGTTTTTTAAAAGTATCTGGACTGTATGTTGCACTTGGTAACATTTTGGCATAATTCAGGAATATGTGACTCATTTATATCCCTATTTTGAGGATTTAGAATTATATTAACTGCATGAGCACATAGATTCCCTTGCAAAACTCTTTGGCCTTAGCACATTTATGCCTATTTTAAAAAATTCTCTTACCCAAAGAGCAGGCTCAGAAGGAGACGTGTCTACTCTTTCCAAAGGCATCATATGGCTTTCTTAATTTATGTGAAGCAGGAGAGTGGAATTTTTAGAATATGACTGTACCAGTTCCTGAGATTCTTGTTAACTAGTTCAATTTCCCAGCACAGGACTCAGAATTCTCAGTTCTTCTAGACAAGGTCAATATTGTTTTTTTATAAAGCAAAAATCATGAAAGTCTTTATGACTTACATGAGCACAGAGTACAAAAGGAAAAGAAGGTAGCTCAGAAAGACACAGACGAGACCATGTCTGCTAGAAAATCCTTGAGCCAGAAGGCAGTGAATATTTCCCAAGGAAAGGCTTCAGCAGAAGCCAAAGGAGCTTCCTGCTGGTCAAGACTCTCTGACAAGAAGGGAAGGAGGCCTTGGACACAGCTGAGTGGAGGAAAGTACTCCCTAGGCAAGTTTTTTTCCCATGCCAGCCAGCAGATTTGAGTTGCTCCTGCTATGCCATTTCTTTCCAGAAATATGAAGGATTTTTAAATATAACCAAGGCTGTGATGATCACTGCAGCCAGTATCAGGGAGAAGAAGACCATGAGGAAGACATAGGTGGAGTGGGAGAGAGGTGCGGACAATGGCTGCTCAGCTGGTATCATGTTGGTCAAGTTCAGCATGTAACCCAAAGTCCATCCAGCATTGCTGCCCTGGATCTGCAAACAGTGGAAAAAGTCTGTTGTTTGTGGTTCAATGAGATAAACTGTAGTTTCATACAACTTCATTTATAACACTGAGCAATAAACAGGTGGAGAGCATCCTGTAGTTATTTAAATTGATTAATTTTATATTCTATTATGGAAATTTGGTTGTGGAGAAAACAGCAGCAAGTGATTAAAAAAGAGTTTGGAACCTCGCTATTGTATTCCTAAAGTTCAGAAAGTAATTCGGTAAATGGCTGCCTAATTCTCTTACCTAGAAGAATGTAACCCAAACAAATCTTTGGAGCTTTGCTTTCTTACTTTTTTATTTATAATGAATGCGAGAGGTAGGGAAAATGGATGAGGGGAGGTGAGAGGAAGCAGACAAAAGGATTAGGGAATGATATAGTCTTTGGCCATTAATATCTTGTCAGGCCAGGAAACTCATCTACATAAAACCAGGGCTTCACTAAGGAAAAAAATTGGAGTTAATCACAGCAAGTCAATCTTATTTTACATGAGTTGGAAGACTATGTATATGTACAAGAAAAGTTTCTTATTAAATAGCAAAAAACATGTTCTGACCCTCTCATCTTTCTAGGAATATTTTCTAACTCAGAACTTAATGGAATATAGATACTCTTTGAATAATATTTTTGGAAATGTTTTTATTACATTAATTGAGCATATCCATAGTAGAAAATTAAGGAAGTAGAGACAAACCTAAATAAAACAAAAACCATCCAGACCTCACCATTCAGAAACTGCTGCTGTTTTCATTTTGTGGCATACCATTCTAGTTCTCTCTGAATACTTTTAACAAAAATGTAATGAAACTATACATAGAATTTCATTTAACAATACCTTGTGAACATCATTACCTGTCTCAAGACATTTCTACATCATTTCCGTGTCACCATCATTGGCATGAACTGCCTTGTACATTTACTTTTACTCACTATAACCCAATGATTTACAAATCCTAGAAATGGAGCAACTGGACAAAATGATGTGTACATTTTAAGACTTTTAGCACATATTGTCAAAACAAATCTCCCCAAAGGTTATGCCAATTCATACTCCAATCAATATCAGGTTGAAATTCCCTCTGCAGCCAAACTCTTACCAACATCAGGAATTAATAATTTGTAAAAGGTCCACTTTCATTTGTGGGGGGGATGGAAACCTTATCTGACTGCAGGTATCAAAGAAGCCTTAGAAATATTGAATCATGCATTGGAGTTCAAAGAATAAAAATTAGAAATCCTTTGTCACTCATAACTTTGACATAGAACCTCCAAAACTGTATAAAATATACTTTGCTGGAATGGAAGGAAGTCTGGAATATTAAAACAGAAAATACATGAATTTGCATTAGCAAGGTTAGCATTGAAAAGAGTGTACTAGTTCCTTTGGAGTTGCTATAGCTTCTGTTTTGATGCTGCCCTTTCTTGAAATCACTATATTTTTTAAAGGGTAAAATATTTTTGCCAATAGTGGACATGGGTTTAAAAACGCAGCGAAACACTGCTCTTGCTATTTTTCAAGAATGCATCACACAGCTGATGAATAGCTGCAGGTGGCGCTATGGTGAAGCACAACAACGAGGTTACTTAAAGGCTCATGCTAAGCCTGGCTTCTAAGCAACGACCACATTCACAGTCACTCAGTCCCTTTCTTTACACAGAGCTGTCAGGTTGGTCAACCTTTGTTGGCAACAACTGAAAAAGCCTTTCCTTCTTCTTAGAAACTGTAATCATCCTTTTCTGGCATGGGGCTTTGGGGAGAGTTAGCATACAAACCCCACTATGGTTACTGAAATCTGTTACATTACTTTAATTTCTGTTTGGTTTTTTTTGTTGTTGTTGCTTTATAAAAATTACTCTCTATTCTGTGGGCAGAAAGATGCTTCTGATGCAAGTAGCTCTCCTTAGATAAGTATCCATAGCTAACTGGTATTCCCAGAAGGGGCTGACACAATGCCAGCTTGAGTGGGATGGTAGAACAAAACAAAATAGGCCAACACTTGACTCACCTTTATTTAAGCCCAAATCGACTTCACTACCACTCAACTTTCCCACAATCAAATAGTTACCCCAAATTACCTTTCCCATAAAATGAATGTTCTTCCAGGAACTGTCCGTAAAATGATATCCTTGCAGAAGGAGGGAGAGGATGTAGGCACCTGAAAAGCAGTATTCACTCAGGAACTTCTCATTCACGGCAGGAAAAGATTTCCTTACCTAGAAGTAAAGTGAAAGGAATATTATACTTGTATAAGAGGCACCTCTTTGTAGTTGCTATGATTTAGATTTGAAATGCCCACCCCTGCAAGGCCATCCGCCAAAGGCTTGGCTGTCAACTTATGATATTATGAGGAGGTAACAGGACCTTCAGGAGGTGATGCCTAGTTGGAGGAAGTAGGTGCTTTCTGGTGTGCTTGTGAAGGCCTATGTTGTCTTCAACTCTTTTTTTTTAACTCTGCATTTCCTGGATGTAACAAGGTGAGCAGGATTCCTCTATTATGTGTTTCTGCCATGGTTGATGGCCTCACTATAGGCTCAAAAGCCACCAGGTTAATCAACCATTGGTTGAAACTATGAACAACAACAACAACAAAATCATTCCTCCTTTGAATTGATTTTTCTCAGGTATTTTATAATATCATTAGAATGCTAACACAATCACTGTCTTTTTCACTATTAGATCTGACTAACGAAAGGCAAAAGCCCCAGCTCATGCGGGACTGACAACCAACATTTGTACATGCTTTTAGTCTCTAAGAAAGGCTTTTCCATATATTGATTGATTGATTTCTGCCTCAGCCTCCCAGAGTACTGGAATAATGGTGTGCACCATCACGCCTGACTGGAACACACCTTAAGCAGCATTTTGCTAATAGCTACTAAAGGGGATGACATCTCACTCGATAGTTTATCTTTGCTTTAGTTTTTTTCACCACATCTGAGTCATGCAAAATAGTTCTGATTGAGTGTTTCTTATGTTTAGTCATCCTACTCTCTACTTAAGATACTAAGAGCTGCTTACCACTTACTCATCCGAGCTATTGTGAATATATAGCCAGATGTCCACAGTATTGCCTTCTGCTCTCCTACCTTTAATTAGAAGACAACAGGCCAGGACATCTCTAGCTCAGCCCAGAGTTCTATTTGCTGTCCTGTACCTCAGCTATTGAGGTAAACATTCCTTCCTGAACATCACAGGTGAAGTAAGAACAAATATCAGGTACTTGGAACTATGCCAGATGTCCTATATATGTAGTGTCTCCTTGCCCCACTTTTCCCCTCATCCCTGCTAAGAAACATGCTATCAGTTAACCTAACACTCTGGTCAGGGTCTCAAAAGATGCAGATAAATAATTCTGTAAGATTAAATACCCCTTCAGATATTTTTAAAAATTCTCAATAAGTTGGGAAGAAAAAGAACCACAACACAATAAGGACTATACAAACCCACACCAATCTCATAAAGAATGGAGAAAAGCTAAGAGCATTTCCTCTTAAGATTTGCCACCAGACAAGGATGTTGACTTTCACCCTATTCTTCAATATATCATGGGAAGTCTTAGCAAGAGCAGTTAGGCAAGAAAAAGAAATAAAGAACATTCACACTGAAATGGAAGAAGTCAAATTACCCATGTTGGCAGATAACGTGATTTCATGCACACACATAAAAGAACATTAAAAACTCCATCAAAAAAGCTGTTAGAACTGATAAATTAGATAAAGTTATATGATACAGAGTCAACATATAAAAACAGTAGCATTTTTGTGGAATTAAAAGAATTGCTATTCTCAACTCTAATCACTTATTTGTTCAAAGAAGTCTGATTTATTGATTGATTAATTGAGATAGGGTCTTGATATGTACTTCAGACTAGACTTGAACTCTGTATGTTGTCCAGGCTGGCCTTAAATTTGGGGCAGTCCTCCGGTCTCAGCCTCCTGAATGCTAGGATTACAGATGTGTGCAACCATGCCTGGCCAAAGTTACATGTATTTTAGTTATGAACTTTTTTTGTTATTTGAATATAATACTGTATGTTTCAAGATTTAAATTTTATAAAATTTTATTTGTACATATTTGCAGTACATAATGATGATATCGATCCTGGGGAGTTGGTACATATATATAACACATCATAATCCTTTTTACTGCCCTTTCCCCCTCCTCTCTTCAATCTCTTGGTCCCCTTCCCATTTGCAAAAGGTCTATCTCCTTGTTTCCTATTGTATTTTATTTTGTTCCCATCTTTTACTTTGTTCTTTAAATTATTATTATTAGTAGTAGTATTACTATTATTATTTTGTACTGAGGATTGAACTTGGGACCTTGTACTTGCGAGGAAGGTGGCAGCACTGCTGAGCTAAATCCCTGACTCTGCTCTTTAAATTATTTATACTTTGAATTTCTCATATAAAAGAGAAACCACATGACATTTATGCTTGTGTATCTGATTTTAACATTATGGCCTCAAGGTACATCCATTTTTCTACAAATGACTCACGTTTATCTTACTTTATGGCAGACTACTACTCCACTGTGTGTAAATACCACATATAACCTGCTTCCATAGCTTTTATGAGTTGTGCTGCTGTAAACACTAATATTCATGAATATGTTGAACTCTTTTGGGGAAGATATCTAGAAGTATAATAGCTGGGTCAAATGGAATTTTTATTTTTTATTTTTTTCTTTTCTTTGTATTGAGTTTATTGGTACAATCTAGGAATGCCATACAGTTAGATTCATTATTGGGATCCTGTACCTTTACATAACAGGTCTTGATTCTCTTTTTTTCCCCTTGTTCCTGCCCTCCCTTCACCCCCTCCTCCCCTCCCCATTTACAAACACTTTATTCCCATTTTTTCAATTTTTCATATTTTTTCCTCTCCCTTATTACCTTTCCCCACCCTTCCCAATTTCCCTACACCTTCAGCCCTTTACTTACTATTTCACATTATTAATTATCTCATTAGGATCCTGTGTACTACTATGGTTTTCACACCAGAGAAACCATTCGGTATTTCAGTTAAAGAAATATCTGTATGAACATTAAAAATAGGGAATCCTAAAATAAAACAAAAAAGGAAAGTAAAAGAGAAAAGGCAATGATGTAAGATTAAAATAATCCTTAATTCTGAAGATGAAAATGGTCCCTTAACATATTTAAATTGTTTCTTGCTCTTGTAGTCTTATCTTATTCTTTTTTTTCATTATTTAGAGAATACTTTATTAGTATTTACACATGTGTGACTTATTTATTTAACTTAGGAGTATATCTTCAATATGTATCCATTTTCCTATGAATGAATCTATTGGAATTTTTATTTTTAATCTTTTAGAAATCTCTGTACTATTTCCATAGAGATTGAACTAGTTAACATTCCCAGCAACAATGTAGAACGATTCCTCTTCCCCCACAGCCTCACCAATATTTGTTGCTATATGATTTCTTGATGTTGGCCATTCTTCCTGCAGTGAGATGGAATAACCCAATAACAGGTAATGAAATTGAAGCAGTAATAAAAAACCTACCAACTAAGAAAATTTCAGGACCTAAGGGACTCACCACTGAATTATACAAAAACTTCAGGACAACCTGGTGCCAATGCCCCTCAAACTAATGAAATTGCAAGGGAAGGAACACACCAAAGTCATTCCTGGAAGCTACATTACCTTGATTTTATAACCAGACAAGGGCTCAACTGAAAAGGAAAACTATGGGTCAATCTCTTTAATGAGTACAGCTGCAAAAATCATCAAGAAAAAACTGGCAAACAGAATGCAACAAAGCATTAAAAAGATCATACATCATGACCGAGTAGGCTTCATCTCAGTGATGCAAGAATGGTTCAACATGCACAAATCAATAAGCGTTATACATCATATAAACAGAAGCAAGGATAAAAATCACATGATTATCTGAGTAAATAGAGAAAATGCCTGTGACAAAAGCCAACATTCATTCATTATAACACACTGAAGAAAACAGATATCTTATCTCTATCTGATAAAAGTCACTTTTGTCAAACATCACATAAAATGGGGAGCGTGAAAACTTTAAAGTCAGGAATAAGATAAAGATGTCCACTATCACCATTCCTGATGAATGTATTACTTAAAACTTTAGCCAGAGAAATCAGGCAGGGGAAAGATATAAAAGGGATACATATAGAAAAAGAAGTCAAACTATCCTTATTTACAGATACCATGATCCTTTCCAAAAAATATCAAAAAATCTCCACCAAAAGACTTCTAAAACTAATAATGAAATTCAACAACGTAGCAGGTTACAAAATCTAGATGTAAAAGTCAGTAGAGTGTTAGGGATGTATTTCCATGGTATGGCAAGTGCAAGGGCCTAGTTTGATTTCTGGTACCAAAGGGGTGGGGGAAGAAAAAGAAAAAAAGTCAATAGAGTTCCTGTATACCAATAAAGATCACAGAGACAAAGATATTAGGAAAAATTACCATTCACAATAGTTTCAAAAAATTAAATATTGAGGAATGAACCTAATGAAGTAAAAGACATCTATAATGAAAACTATAGTATTTTTAAAAAGGAGATTGAAAAGAATATCAGAAAATGTAAAGATATCCCCTGTTCTGGAGAGGCAGAACCAATATGGTCAGAAAAATTATATTACCAAACTGATATACAGATTTAATGTAATCCTTATCAAAATGCAGCATACCCCATAGAACTAGAGAAAACAATTCTAAAATTCATGTGGAACCAGAAGAGACCCTGGATAGCAAAAAGAAATATTGGACAACAAGAGCAAAGCAGGAGGCATCAGAGTCCAAGACTAAGTTATACTACAAAGCTACAATGATAAAAGCAGAATGGTACTGGCACAAAAACAGATATGTAGATCAGTGGAATGGAACAAATGATGCAGAAAAAACTCTGGGCACATTTCAGCCATCTAATCTTGAACAAAAGGTCTAAAAATATATGTTAGCAAGAAGATAGCCTCTTTAACAAATGATGCTGGGAGTGCAGACTGGTGCAACCACTGCAGAAACCAATAAGGATATACCTCAGAAAACTAGGACTAGAGGTTCCATTTGACTCAGGTATCCCTCTGGTGGGTATCTTTCCAAAAGAATTAAAAGAATCATGCCACAGCAATATATGTACACCCATGTTTATAGTGGCAAAATTTGTAATAGCTAAAACTTGGAAACAGCCCATTTGCCCATCAGTTGGAGACTGGATAAAGAACATGTGGTTTTTCTATAAAGTGGAGTACTATTCAGCCATAAAGAATGAGAATCTAGAGTCATTTATAGGAAAATGGATGCATATTGAGGCCATACTCTTAAGTGAAATAAATAGGACACATGTGTAAATACCGAATAGTGTCTCTGGTATGAAAAACTAAAAGTGTAAATAAGGTTCAGACAATGTGAAATAGGAAGAAAAGGGCTAAAGGAGTAGGGGAAGTGGGAAGGGTAGGGGAAAGGAAAGAAGGGAAAAGAAAATATACAAGAAAAGGAAAACATGGAAATAAAGCCTTTGTAAATAGGGAAGGGTGGAGGGGGTGAAGAGAGGGCAGGGTTATGGGGAACAAATAAGAACCAAGATACCTCATGTAAAGGTACAAGATCCCAGTGATGAATGTAACTGTACTGTACATCTAAAAAGTACCAATAAACTCAATGAAAAACAGCAACAACAACAAAAATGATGTAAAAACTGGATATACACTTGCAGAAGATTGAAATTAGAATTGTATCTCTCATATTTTATATGTCAATAATTAACTTGCTAAAAAAGCTGTCAAGGAAGCAATCCTATTTAGTAGCTATAATCAAACTATCAATCATCTAGGAATAAATGTAACCAAAACCAGGAAAAGATTGTCATAAAGAAAATTATAAAGTATTGATGAAAAAATTAAAAAGACATAAAAATTGAAAAATATAAAATGTTAATGGATTGAAAAAATTAATATTGTTAAAGTGACCATAATTCCCAAAGCAATCTGCAGATTCAGTGTGTTCCCCATGCAAACACCCAGTTTAACAAATGAGAACATGAAATGAATAGACACTTCTCAGAAGTACAATGGCCAATAAGTCCATGGAAAAACATTCAGCATATTTGGCCATTAGAGAAATGCAATCAAAACAACAGTGAAATTCTACCACACTCCAATAAGAATGGCTATTATCAAGGACTCAAAAAATAACAAATGCTGTCCGGGTTGTGAGGAAAAAGTACTTCTGCATTGTTTGTGGGAATGTAAACTAGTACAACCATTATGGAAATCAGTACGGAGATTTCTTAAAAAACTAAAAATAGAAATTCCGTTTGACTAGCTATACCTCTTCTGGGTATCTTCTGGAAGAGCTGAAGTGATCCTATTATAGTGGTGTAAGCATATCTATGTTTATAGTAGAACAATTCACAATAGCTAAATAATAGAAGCAGTCTATCAACAGAGCAATAGATAAAGGCAACATGGTATATATACACAACAAAATATCACTTAGCCATAAGAAGGATACATTTGAGAGATTTGTAGGAAAATGGATGGATCCTCAGACCATAATACTAAATGAAATAAATCAGACACAGCAGTTCAAATATCACATGATTTCTCTGAGAGACTGAAAGTATAAATAATTCCAACAGAAAAATAAAGTATGTTAAGAAACAGGCAGGTAGTGTCTACGGAGAAGGGAAGACAGTCTGGGGAAGAAGGGAGAAGAGATGGAAGTGGAGAAAAAGGGACTAAAAATGGTCAAGATGTGATATGTATGTACAGCAGTCTCCCAAGATGAATATAATCTCTATGTATCAGAAACATATAATAATAAAATTTCTGAATGAAACCCCAATTGCACAGGAAATAGTTCTGAGCATCAGCAGATGGGATCATATTAAATTTAAAAGCTTCTGTACAGTGAAAGCAACAACCAACAGAATGCAAAAAATAACAAAAAGAATGGGAAAAGGGCTGGGGACTTAGCTCAGTGGTGCCACTGCCTGCCTCGCAAGCGCAAGGTCCTGAGTTCAATCCCCAGTACCCCTCCAAAAAAAAGAAAAATATTTTTCCAGCAATTTTTCAGAGAGGACTCGTATCTATAATATATGAAGAACTCAAAAAAGTTAGACTCCTCAATATAAAAAACACAATCCAAAAATAGTTAAGCAAAATGAATAGATACAGAAGGCTGACAAATCATGTGAAGAAGTGCTCAACACTGCTGGCCATTAGAAAAATGCAAATTAAAACAACATTGAGATTCTATCTTACCTCAGAAAGAATAGCCATCATCAAGAAATCAAATAATAACAAATGCTGAGAAATGCTGGGGAGGCTGCTACACTGTTGGTGGGAATGTAAACAAATACAACCACTGTGGAAATAAGTATAGAAATGACTCAAAATAGTACATGATCTCACTCATTTGTGGAATATGAAAAAGTTGATCTCAGAAAGTTGAGTCAAGGCATAATTGTTTTCAAAGGCTAAGAAAGGTAGCAAGGAGGGAGGTAGGAGATGTTGGCAAGTGGGTATAAAGTTATAGTTAGGAGGAATAAGTTTTGATGTTCTTTTGAACAGTAGGGTGACCACATTAACTATAGTGTACACAATATTTCAAAAGAGCTAGTAGTGACCAGTGGTGTTGAAATATCACATTATACCCCATAAAATGTATAGTTATTGTGTATCAACCAAATAAAAATAAAATAAAACAAAAAAATTTTAAGTCAGGGAAACACTGCAATGGGCTTCTGGGATGGCCTTTTTTTTCTGTAAAAAGAAACAGATATATCTGGTCTCTGATCATGAATATAAAAGCTACAATAATCTTTATTTTTCACAGATCTGGGGTTGAAGCCAGGGAGCTCTAAGCTGTATGCCCCACCTTTAAAACATTAAAAAAAAATTTTGTGATAACCCAAGCTTGCCTTAACCTTGCAATCCACATGCCTCAACCTCCTGAGTACTTGGGATTACAGCCACGTGCCACTGTGCCTGGATAGCCATCTTGTGTCCATGAGGAACTAGTCATAAAAACTGAATTGAAGAAGCAATGGCTGAAACAGAAATGAGCTACTGGCCCCATTTCAGCAGCTGCTTATTGTTAGACTTCATCTTAGGTGAGAAACATAATACTTTATTTTAAGTCATTTTATGTCAAATTATCAATTAATGTTGATATATTCATTCATTAGCCCACCTCATGGGCTTCTCTAACACATTAAATGGATCTTGATTGATTAGCACAAGTTAAGAGCAGACTCATGTCTTCTGTACCACTGAGGGCACAAGGCAACTGCGTATCTTGTTCACTTACCTCCTCCCAAGGCCTAGAGCAATACTTTTCCATTATCTCATTCATCTTTTGTTGAGAGGAAACTTCCTCTGATGTCAAGTTTAAAAAATCCATCACAAAGTAGAAAGCTGAAAATGCCTGTATGAAAAAAATTCAGTTTTAGGTGACTGTGTCCAACATATAAGGACACTGAACTTCTCCCTTTGGGGGCTGAATTTTGCCTCAGAAAAGAGTAAAACTACCTAGCAATTACCCACAGCAAACAAGTCATATGCTTTAACATAGGTAAAATAAACACAATGTTTTTTGGGGGGGTACTGGGGATTGAACTAGGATCCTTGAGCTTGGGAAGCAGGTGCTGGAACCACTAAGCCAAATCCCCAGCCACACAATTTTAATTATATATATATATATAAATTATATATATATGTATATATAATTTCTAACAAAAGTTTTCTTATGTCTGTAAATCCAGCTTCTAGGAGGCTGAGGCAGGAAGATCACCATTAGTTTGAGGCTAATGGGCTATATAGAGGGACTCTGTCTCAAAACAAACAAAAAAAAAAAGAGAGAGAAAGGAAATTTTGTTTCATTGTTTAGCTTGATTTCTCTACCACTTTCAATCCAGATAGTTATCTGGTAATGTAGCTAACATTTTTATCAGGTTTCCAGGAACAAAACCAGAAATTTGTTATTGAGGTGGTATGTGTCTCAAATCCCAGCATACTAGGGAGGCTGAGGCAGGAGGAACACAAGGATGAGAGGAGCCCACCAACTCAGTGACATAGCAAGACCCTGTCTCAAAAATTTAAAGAAGACTGGGAATGTAGCCTAGTGCAAAGGCCCTGGGTTTAATCCTTAGGAAGAGAAGGAGGAAGGGAAAGAGGAGGGAAAACGGGGAGAGGAAGAGGGAGAGGAGAGGAAAATGAAAGAGGGGAAAGAAAAGGAGAAAGAGAAAAAGGAGAAACAAACAGAAACTTATCCCAAAGCCAAATCAAATTTGTCCATAATGAAATAAAAAGGGGGTTGCTAAATCATTTTCCAAAAATCCAATAAAAATACATTAACTGTAATTTGAAATATAAATTAAATGAAGCACTTGTAATCACAGGCAAAAACAGAAACAGGCAATACAGGGTTTTTGTGTGTTTGTTTTGTGGTACTAGAGATTGAAGCCAGGGAGCATCAAGCTACATCCCCAGCCAATATTATCTGGGGACAGGGTCTCACTTTGTTTCCCAGGATGTACTCAGCATCAGTCTCTGGAATAGTGTGATTATAGCCCTGCATCAGGACACCCACCTGGATTACAATTTTATATGAAAACTGCCCTAAACCAACCGTTTGACTTGCCCCACTCCCTCATGCTAACTCAGCCAGTCATTCTAACTTGATTCTCTAACAACTTCTCTGCTAACATTACCAGGTATTAGGCCGGTTCTTCTTGAGCAGGAAGCATTTTAGAGGCAGGGATAGGTAATGTCAATTTCAGGGTTATCTGTTTGTGGCATGTGTCTGATTCTGCCTCCATATTTCTATATAGATGCAGTGTCTGACACCAGTGGGAACATTCACTCTCAGCTATTGTTCAGTTTAGGCTCATGGTTCAACATTCGTCTTTGTGTTCTTTATATATTTTTAGTCTTTGTCAAGGGTTCTTACTCTGGGAAACACGGATCCACTTCAAGGGATCTATTTTTTGGCATATTTTACAGGTCCATTTTTCTGCTTGCAGGATCTTTAGCTTCTATCAGGTTCTCCAAAGAACCTTGTGATCCCTTACAGAGTTAAGAATGACATTATGCTAAATGAAAACATTTAGCATTATAACACATAAAACATAACATTATACTAAGAGAAATAAACCAGTCATAAAGGTGTAACTATTGTTTGATTCCATTTATATGATGGCATCTGAAATAGCCAAATTCATTTAGAAAGTAGAATGGCAGTAGCATCAGTGGCTAAGTTAACATTTGTTTAATGGCAACAGACTTTCAGTTTAGGAAGACAAAAGAGTTCTACAGATGGATAGTGGACGTGATTGTGTAATAATGTGTAGGTACTTAATGCCACAGAACTTCGCACTTAAAAATAGTTAAAATGGGAAATATCATATATTATGAGTATTTTACCATGTACACAAAAAGGAGAGAAAATGATTGGTTTAGATAGCCTCACTATTTTGCTTCTAGTTTCTGCCTTGGTTAAATAGGTTATGGTTTAGAATCCTTTTTTTTTGTGTGTGTGTGCTGGGGATCAACTCAGGACCTTGTGCTTGTAGGGCAGGAGGCAGCACCACTGAGCTAAATCCCTGGATAGAATCCTTCCTTAACATAGAGTCAAATATGCAGTGTACAGGCATTTAACAAACCCATTATATAGGAATAGAATGGTCTTCTATTACAAATATCTGGACCAAATCTAAAGTAACATCTTAATTTCTTCAAAGAAGTATGATAAATACTATACTTGTATATCCCACCAAATAAAGGTATAATATAGAAATAGATAATTTCTTTGTAGTCACAGTAGATATCACATCTTTCAATTAAAATCAGAAGCAAAGTGTGTTAGATGAGCTGTATGTTCTTTAATTTTTCTTAAAAAATCATGCTGCAGAATAAGGTCATTTGTTTCTCTTCCCTTACTCAGGTATTAATTCATTCATATTTATTTATTTTTTTATTCTACTTGTCAACTTTTGTGGAAGCCTTCCTGTGTCATGGCCTAAGTGATAGCTTTCCCTTTGACGTGTTTTTCAGATATTCACCAAATACTGGATTAATATCTAAGATGGCCTCTTCAATCCATTGGGAAAGTCTCTTCTATAACACATCATTGCTTATACAAACATGAATTGGAATTCAACCAAGAAAATTTAAGTTGTTGATGGGATGGAATGGTAGTGTTTAGGGTATTTTTCCTTGATTTATATATATTGTATAATGAAAAAATAACCTTAACTTTATTTAGAATGCTTCCATTTTTAATCTCAAGGGTTATAGTGAATGACAAAAAAATTCTTTTAATACACCAGGAAAAAAATTGGTAAAAATTAGATGGTTCAAGATCATATCCCCGAGTTTCTTCCTGTAATGAAAATGATTTCTTTAAACTATTTTAGAAAAAAAAAGTCAACCTGACCCTACTCTCACGATAAGGTTTTGGGGGTCTCAACTCAGCAGTTGTTCTTTTGCAAGAATGGGTTCAAAGCCAGTGCTTGGGGGAAATACTGCCTCAGTTTTAGAAATTCTTCAATTTTCTTTAGCTACCCACTAACCAGGCACCCCTCCAAGTTTATGGCTTGATTTTTAAAAAGTAATTGCGAGTGCCTGTTAACAAAGGTCTTAAACAATTATTGTAATTTATTCATAGATTTTCAACTGCTATTATAGAATCAGTGCCCCCAAACTCTGTGTTGTTCTGTGGTCAACTGTACATATATGTAAACAAATATATTTTAAATTCTTAAATTATTTTATAAGTAATTACCAACAGATGTTTCCTCTTCTTTGTTTATGTTTCCACTTTGCCTGTAGCATTGGATTTAAGATAGTAATGAAGGCCACAGTGCAGCTAGACTGACTAGAGCCTTGACAGTTTTTAGTACTATATATTCAGATTTAGAATTAAATCACCAGGGATGAATGCAATTGTAGCAAAAACTCCCTCCTCCATAAATTCTCTGTGGTTTGAGAGTACCCCTTCTAACTGGTTCAGGAAATAATAGGAATGTAAATGGACTTTTGTTGCTGTTCTTGCAAATAGTTATGCTTCAAGTCCCAGTTACACTTCAAGTTCATGTTGAGAACTTCCACTGTAGAATTAAGACAGCTAGAAGAAATAAACTTTCCAAGAGCTTACTAATGCTAGAATATGTTAGCTTTTTGATCTTTGCCGTGGTATGTGGGGGCTGGCTCTTACACATTCACAAGAGCCAACTGTTAAATTTCAGGATTTTTTGCTTTCTAGTTGCTATGCTGTTGGTAGATTGGACTAAGCTCTGGTAGGAGTAGTAACACCACTGAGATTGGCAAATGCTACAATCAGCTCCCCATCTACCGAGAACTCATTAGACGTCTATCAGCCTAGTTACTGATTGTTTGGCATGTACTGCCCACAACCAATTGTCAGTGATATAGTATTACAGTCCCCATTTTACAAAGGGGTGATTGAAAAGTAACATGAGTGTTTAAAAAAATTTTAATCTTACAGCAGCAAAAGACACGTTACCAAGAATGATGGGATATGTGTCTTCAAAGCAAGGGGAAGTATTTTAAATATTTTGAGGGGAATTATTGGCAATGTCTTTTATTGTAATATATTTTCAACCTTAAACATTCACTATATTTTGTGATCACTTCTCACTAATCAAGTATTTATGTCAATTTATGTCAAATGAAAACATTACAGTGTGTCTTCATCTACTTTATTCACCAGATCTGGCAACATGTGACTTCTGGTTCTTCCCCAAAGTCAAAGTGACCATGAAAGGTAAACATTTGGAACTGATTCAGAATATCAAGGTAGCCAGGTGTGGTGGCACACGCCTGTAATCCCAGCACTCGGGAGGCTGAATCAGGAGGATCGCTGTGAGTTCGAGACCAGCATGGGCTACAAAGTGAGTTCCAGGTCAGTCTCAACTACATAGTGAGACCCTGTCTCAAAAAACAAACAAACAAAAAAAACCCAAAATAAAACAAAACAAAAAATCAAGGTAGCCATGACAGGGCATCTAAAGACACTCATGTGAGAAAACTTATGGAACTGTTTCAGAAAGTGGCAAGAATGATGGGATGTGAGTTCAGAGTGAGGGGGAACATTTTGAGGGTAATTAATAACAATATGTCTTTTACTGTCAGAATTTAAAAAGAAAATTTAAATATTGTGTCGTTTCTGATTATACACCATAAATAATAATCCAGGCCCTCCCACACACCTCAAATTTAGGCTTTAAGAAGAAATTACAGAGGGGACAAAAAAAAAAAAAAAAAAAAAGTCTTGAAGCAGATGAAGCTGCCAAAGCAAGAATAGGCCCCAACTGGTGCCGACCTTGAAGGCTGTTTCGAGAGAAGAAAGATGCTATTCTGAGGAACTAAAGGGACCACCAAACTGAGGTTTAGAAAGTGGTGGGAACAATCTTAACAAGGGACTAAGCAACCAAATAGAAAAGTGTCTAGGGGAGCTCAAGGCCCCCTCCACCATTTTCTAGCCCATATATCTCCCTACTTTGGTTGGATGAATCACATTCAAAGACAAGAAATCCCATCCCCTTTAAACTTGAAAGCGGGCATTGAACCATGTTTCCCAGAATGCAGAGCTTTCAAAGTAGTTAAAAAATAAACACAGAATATATTAATTTTCCTTCAGAATTACTTCCTAGCAGGAACTAAAGTGCAAAAGGCCCTTAGCTATTTCCAGCAGCCCCGACTATGTGCCTCTCTCTTGTGGTATCCTCCTTCCTCATTTAAAAGTCCAACTCAAGGAAAGAAAGGGCTCTGGCCCCAAAACCAAACAGGAGAAAATCAATGCCAGTTCAGCTACATGGCATTCAACTGAGGTTCTAGTTTGTTCTAAATTAGGGTTTGGAGCCAACTAAAAGCCAAGTGTTACTCTGCCAGCTCTTGTTCTGTAATGTACTTCCCTCAGGAAACTTGAGGTGTCTTTTGGCATTTCTATATAATGAGAAAGAAATGTGTGCAATAGAACCCTCTAAACTCCTTTTCTGTTTTGGCTTTTCATGTAAAGGTATGATGCTTTGAGCAGCAGCTGCTGTCTTATTACCACAAGAAGTTTCAAGAAGATCATGGAAAAACTGACCCCAAATCCTAACACTGTTAAGCCAAAGAACTAACCCAGAATTATCTCAAGATATTTTGTGAGAGAAAAATAACTATACTATTGAAAGCATTTATAGAACATTGTGCAACTTGTGACCAAAATCATCTTAACCAATATACCTCATCATTTCACAAACTTACCCCAAAATCCCCTTTGAGTGGTGGCAAGAAAATCCCATTGAAGGCACACTGGGAGTAAGGGCAGTAACTGGTGTTGAAGAGTTCAAGGATATTTTGGTGACATTGCTGGTAGTTTCCAATTCCCTGGATTTGAAACTGATCGAATGGCAGAGACTTTTCAAATCCCTTGGTGCAAGGAGACTTGTAAAGTTCACTTACATTCACAAACTTCTTATAACCTACATGAAAGCATGGGTCCTCAAGGATTCCATTACTTGAAACCTAAATGGAAAAATTAGTTGAAGGAATCTTGTGTAAATACTTAGGGCACAAAATGTACAGTCTAACTTCATTGCTATCTAAGCTTCATATAACATTCCAGTACTCAGAATTGACATCTATATGTCCTTGCCTGCTTTTTTCATCCTTGGGAATAAGAAAGAAAATAGATTTGTTTAACAGTTACTGGAAGTGGTACACATATAAATGTACTGCTATATTTATAGAATGCTAATATAGCAAAAGTTGGGCCTAGAAATACTATTGTTTGGGAATGTTGCCTGAGTGTTTATTTCTAATGGCATAGGTCAGGGGCAGATTCACAAAGAAAACTCTCAAGGTTCTCAAAAATGTGAACTTGAGAGTAGCAGGTGAGAGGTCTGCATACTGCCCTTTTGCCTCCTCCCTAGGGAGAGAATCAGAAGCCCTAAGAACAGGAAGGTACCTTAAGCCCTTTGAGTCAATGACATCAAAATGATTTGCAGTCTCCAAAAGAATCCTCCAAAAGAAGAAAGGGGGCTGTGGTGAGTAAGAAGCTTAGTAGACCTTGAGTCTCAGTGGGCCTCAGTTCATCTCTCTATCTCTCTTTCTCTCATGTTGTTCATCTTACTGAAAGTGGTTTTGAGAGCTAGAGAGAGCGTCCCTTGGAGGGAAGCAAACTGGTTGTCCTTTTAGTGGAGACAAAAAACAGCTGTCTATGACAACCTTACTCTGTGTTTATTTGTCAAAATGTGCCTGGTACTCTCACGATGCTGACTGTTTAACTTTCCTTACACAATGCAAAAAATCATCTTTTTTTTGACAATGCAGAAATCATCTGGGAATAAAATTTGAAGGATTGATTGATAAATGTGTTTTCCCTGAAGTATTTTTTTTTCTCTGCCTCTCTGGGTGATTACTAACAACACTGGTTTCTAAAGTTTGTAGAAAAGGGAGATTAAAAAATAGTCGAAGGCCAGGGATTTAGCTCAATGGTACCTCCAACTACCTTGCAACTGCAAGGTCCAGCATTTGATCCCCAGTACATATATGTCTAGAAGAACATATAAATTACAACCCTTCCCCTTGAATAATACGGCAGCATGTAACTTTCATTACCCACAGGAGTGAGAAATTAATTCCCAAGAAAAGATATCTGAGTTGTGTCCTTGCTTACAGTGCAGTAAACAAACAAGGAAGGGGTGCCTGGATGGAACAATTCATAGGGGTTGACCAGCTGTAGTTTGGTATCCTGCCTGAAAAGGTTTGGAAAGTACAACAACCAACTACAGACCAATTACTAAGTTAGAAAGAGAAAAATAACAGGATGTGGGGGATGAAGGACCAGATGTTAGGAGTGCAGGCCTGAATCCACTTATACTTGCCTGAATGTCCTTGGCCAGTTTCTGCAGGAGTGCTTCATCCTTCCCGTAGCACAAGAAGCTGTGTGTATATACATTGTAGTCCTTACCATACAGGCGGAATTGCAGAGAGTTATCTGGGGATTCAGTAGTGTGATCTGGAGGCACAAAAGTGATTTGTGTAGAAGCTCCCCCAAGGTCCAAGGCTCCAAAGGTTTCCTGACTACTGCTTTCAGGTGAGACCAGGCTGAACCAATGTGATTTCTGAAAAAAATACAAGCACCAAGTGCTAAAAGTCTTTGTAAATGCTGTTTTTCACACTACTGTTTTAAACTCAGGGGCTTCCTAAGCTAGCAAAACAGGAGCAGAGAGGTTTGGCAAAGCTTACTAATTTCTGGGTCTGTATGAAATCAACAGCAGGAAAATAAGGGCTTAGCACACTTAGCAGCAACATAGCAGGAGTAAAACTAGTTCTTCCAAACAAGAGATCTGGAGCCAGGCAAAATCACATTCAGATTCCTACTCAGTCAGTCATTAGTTGTGTGACCTTGGCCCTAATTCCTAGGCATCAGCATGGGCTCTTTTAAAAGGGGGATGATAACAGTACCTCATCCTCATTTCTGAGGATGAAGTTACACAATGCATAAAAAGTGCATACTGAAGGGCCGGGATTTGGCTCAGTGGTTCCACTGCCTGCCTTGCAAGCACAAGGTCCTGAGTTTGATCCCCAGTACCAAAAAAGAAAAAAAAAAAAAAAAAAAAAA